CCTTCTCCTTCTCCTTCTCCTTCTCCTTCTCCATCCTCTCCTTCTCCTTCTTCCTTCCCTCTCCTTTCTCCTCCCCTTCCCTCTCATCTCAGGGTGGGAATGGGTCCATTTTATCCCTTCCAGACAATTGTCCCACCCAACCTCTGCCCCTCTCCTCATCCTCTGCAGCCCCTCCTTTGCAGTCTGTGTTACCAGAGGTTTTTTGGCTGCTCTTCCCCACTGTCAGTTCACATTTATTACACGTTTCATGGTCACCATGAAATCGTTTTTTTGGCACCATTGTGACTTTTTTTCCCCTCTGAGTATCCTTTTGGAGACACCATTTCCTGAGGTTCTGGACTGTAAACACACACACACAGAGTTTGTGAAAATTACCTGAAATGGGACATTTTTATTGCAGTCCTTTGACATCTGTGGCCGTGTGGGAAGTGTCAGGAAGGCACTGAAGGTCCTCTGCACCCCCCAGGTAAGGAATGAGACCTCAAAGAGTCAGTTCAGAGGTGAAGCCTTGTTCCTGTGGGATGATGGAGCTGAGAATTGCTGTTCCCTCCTGTCAGGGATGTTGGGAACCTTTCCTGACCCCTGCCCTGTCCCAGCTCTGGGGAGAGGCTGTTCCTGCTTTGTCTGACTGGGAGCTCTGTGTAATGTGGATTAATCCACAGAGGCCAAACCTGCAAGGATCTGACACAACCTTGCAGTGCAGAGTGTGAGAAGGGCTTTAACCAGAACCCTGTGGTGCCTTTTGTGCAGTGACACTCCCAGAGATCAGGATTTATCCCAGGTACTGGTGTTTGGATCTGCTGCACTGACATGCTGGGACTTGTATTTTAAGAAGGGCCACACCACCACTGCAATTTGTTAGAGCTCACCTGGCCTGTTCTGTGGGCTTGGCCTGCTCATTTTTAACTCAGCATGTTTCTGTTTCCCCCAGTCCTGTTAAAATGTGGGAGAAACATTTACCCTCCACATATCTAAAAAGAAAAGTGGGCAGCCCCTGGGTGCTGCTGCTGCTTTTCTCTCTCCTGTGGTCTAACTTGCTAATAATAATCCCTCTCGCTATCCAAACACCTCTGCAGGTGGTGCTGAGCTCATTAAGTGTCATTATTGTTGCTGCACAAGTGGAGGCACCAAAGGGTGGGATCAGCTCGAGGGGCCAACCCAGCAGAGAGCAGAGAGCTGCACAATCCACGTGCTGCTGCCCACACCTCCCTTCCCCACCAGGGACACAACCCCAGTGTCCTTCCCGGGCCGTGTGGGCTGGGAACAGCCCTGTTTTCACACTCCCTGAGCCTCCAAACCCTCGGTCATTGGGATTTTCCCCCCCTGTCCCCCACAGACCTACGGGGTCCGTGCCACCAGCCAGCAGTGCAGCGAGGCAGGAGACATCTGTGCCATCTGCCAGGCAGAGTTCAGGGAGCCTCTGATCCTCCTGTGCCAGGTAAGAGCCCAGGCTTTCCTGCTGGCATTCCTTTGGGTGTCCTGCAGCTGGGGAGAGAGGCACAGTCGACCTGGGGGCCTCTGAAACCATTTGCTGGGTCTTGGGCTGGGTCCTGGTGGGTGTTTATTGCCCTGGCCTGGGTCACTGGTGGTTCTTGGCAGCTGAGCCACCCTTCGGGGGCTGACCATCACTTTTGGGGGGGAAATAGCCTTGTAGGGCAGGGATGGCAGTTGAGGAATGCTGCAGTCCTGGCCTGGGCTGGGAGAAGCCCTTGGAACACCCCACACTGCCATGGGGGCTGTTAATGGACCAGAGGAGCTCGTGGCAAGGCTGGAGGTGCTGCCCCAAGGTTTTCTCTTCAGGCTTTGCCTGCTGGGGTTGGAATTCTGAGTCCTGGAGGGGCCCTGGCTGCTGTGGGTGTGTGAGCAGGAAAACCCCAGGCACGGGGAAGGGAGCTGGTGGGATATGAGCTCTCTTGTGGTATCAAAATAAAGCTCAGGAGCCTGTTTTTGGAGAGCTTCATGGAGAGCTTTTGGAGAGCTTTTATCCCATTAGACAGCAGGGTTATCAAATTAAAGCAAGTGGGTCTCCTGTGCATCAAAGGTGCCTCTCAGCATTGCTGTGAACATCTGCGCAGATGTTCCTGAGCTGGGAGCCCCAGAGGAGCTGCCTTTGTGTCAGAGCTGAGGTTTGGGGAGTGACAGTTCTGACTCCACATGAGCTGAGGTGTGCTTCTCATCCTCCCTGCCCTATTCCTGCTCTTCCAGTCTGGGACTGGGTGGTGTGAGCTGGGGATCCACCCCTCCTGATCCTGGTGCCCAAGGCAGGATGGAGGGAGAACCCAGGGAGGGGCCAGTGCAGAAATGAGAGGAGAGAAGGGGCGAAAACTGGCATTTATGGAAAGGGGACACTGGGCATTGAGAGCAGAATAAAGCAAATGCAAGGAGTGAGGGGGTAAAAAGTGGGTAAAAGTGAAGACTTAAATAACTCAGGATGAAAACATGGCAGAGAAAAGCTCTCCCTACTCCGTCAGGCCTTTTTAATGTTTCTCTCTAGTGCCATATTAAGAAATAATAAATCATTGGCTTTGGCAAAGACGCCGATGTGCTGGTAATGCTGGGATTTATTTTTCCATGCAAGTATTGCTGTTGTGGGTCCCTCCCTGCTCCCAGGGGACACAGGGAGGGCCCTGCTGCCTGGTGACACTGCCCCTTGTCCCCACAGCACGTGTTCTGTGAGGAGTGCCTGTGCCTGTGGTTCGACAGGGAGAAGACGTGTCCCCTGTGCCGCTCGGTCACCGTGGAGACCCTGCGCTGCTGGAAGGATGGCACCACCTCTGCCCACTTCCAGGTCTACTGACACAGGGCACCTCATGCAGGGGAGAGGAAAAACCTGGAAAATCACCCCATGCCCCCCCCCCATTTAGCTGCCCTGTGTGTTTGTTGTCAGTCTTCCTCCCAGCTCTGTCCCTCCAGGAGCCAACGGAACAGTTGTCACCGGCCGGGAACTCCGTCCTCAAAGGCAAGGAGATGTGGTTTGTGCCTTGAGCTACAGCCGAGGATTTTCCTGGAGCTGACGTGGTTATGAACTGCCTGGGATGTTTCCTGCTTCCCTGTCCTTTTAGTGTGGACAAATCCCACGTGGACAAGGCAAGGGAAGAGTGGATTTCATGGCTATGACCTGATGTGCTGCAGCAAAGCTGTGCCTGGCTCGGGCCTCTGCTGAGGTGTCTCACGTTATATGGCCCCAGATTCCCTGGATCCATAGCTTTTTAGGATGACACAGTGGCTGTTCCAGAACCTCTGGGAACTCTCCCCAAGCAGGGCTTCAGAACCTTGTGTCCAAAATGTCACCTGGGGCTGGAGAAATGGCATTTCCCAGCAGCCACGTGTGTGCAGTTGGTTCCACCGATGGCACAACTGTGGCTGCAAGCGTAATAGAATCAGTAAAAAGTCGGGAAAGACCAGGCAAGTGAAGCTGGGAATTACATTTATTTTTGTTGGGAATGTTTTCCCTTTTTTAATTTTCGTGGTGAGGCTTTGTGGTTTCCCAGTATATGAGGAGAACAGTGGGAGACAAAGGGAGATTGAAGTGACAGAATCACGGGAGTCGAGTTGGATTTGTCTGGGTGAAAAATCCAGCTCCAAACCAAGAGCATCCCACAAACTGAGGGGTCTCTGCACCTGCTCCTGGGTGCAGCCCCTCCAGGCCAGCCCCACTCACATCCAGGACCTGCCTGGGTCCCAAACCAGGAGAACTGGAGCTCCTGGAGGGATTAACCCCTTCCTGTGGCTGAGGTGCTGCAGCAACAGGGAGCTGCTGTTTGTTCTGGAGCTTTCCCTGTCCCCAGAGCACCTCTGCTCCTGCTGCACAGCCAGGAAGTGCCTCCCTAGGAACTGTGGTGTTTTCCCAGCTCATTGCCATGGGAATGGCCCGAGGTGATGGTCCCAGCTGAGTGACAGTCACCCCTGAGCCCATCCTCTGGGGGAGATGAGCTGGGTGTGAGCTCACTGGAATCCCCAGGGGGAGAATTCCAGCCAGACAGGATTAAAGCTCCACGTTTCTTTGTGATGTGGCTGGAGGAGGGATGGTGGTGGGAGGCAGAGCCTGAGCAGGGAAGAGTCCAGATCTGGCTTGAGGGATGTAGGGAAGCAGAGGAGGGAAAGCTTTGCTTTCCAAGACAAAGTGATTTGATTCCTGTAAAAAGGATCCTGTGAAAGCAGGGAATTAGCCCAAGGAATCTGGTTGCTCTCTGCAATGGGAATGGCCCCTCTGGGATGGGGGAAGGCAGGAGGCAAGGCTGGCAGTGGGCACAGGAATGTGGGATAGCCTGGTGTATCCACTGGGAAGAGGGCAAAATGAGGGATTCTGTGGGCCAGGCAGCTCCTGAAAGGCCTCAGTGCCAGTTTTCAGGGAACCAAAGGGTTGGTGCTTCTGCTTTCCAAGTGTTTGAAAAGCCACTTCTGTTTCTTTTTTTTCCCTAAATGCTCCTGGAAAAAGCGTTTGGACAAGTGTAGGAGAAGGTCAGTGGGAGCCCAGCACTGCAGAAAGTGTGGGATAAACTGCTCCAGAGTTAGTCAGTGATTAGGCAGGAAATCAAAGGGAAAGTTTGGGAATATTGTTTGAATTCTTAAAGTCTTTTTGAGAGGGGAGGACAATTTTAACCTCTCCTAGAACACGACACCAGAAAACATCCAGGGGGAAACTTCAGCTCCAGTGATGGGAATCTGCTGATTTCCACAGGAAAACAGGGAGGGCTGTGGGAGGAAATCACTCAGAGAGAGGAAATAAAAACCCGGAGCCTTTATTTTTGCCATTGAACAGTTATTTTTCTCTCTTTTTTTTTTTTAATAAAGTCCTTATAAATATGTACAAAGAGTCTCAGCATACGAAATTCCTTTTACAAAAGAGAGAAGAAGCCCCTTCCAAGCAGGACCAGGAGCCTCCAGGGGCTCTGCTCCTGCCTTGGGGAGGTGGAAACCTGCACAGTGACTCTGCTGGAGTTACACCCCCCTGCCTGTCATCCCTGTCATCCCCTTACCAATGGACCTGGGAGAGACTGGGAAGTTCTGCAGTGTCCTAAGGATCGATGATGGGAAGGGTTTTGTGGTGAGGTGGTGTTTGAATTGACTGGAAAGGTGATGCTGGAAATACCCATGGAATTAACCCCCCCCCCAGCTGGGTTTGCTCTGCTGAGGAGCCACTGGGAAGTGATGGTGTAACTAATCCAGGGTGTAACTAATCCAGGGTGTAACTAATTAAGGGTGTAACCAATAATGAGTGTCATTAATAAAGGCCATTTAACACCCAGAAGTTTTCAGTGAATACATATTAAAGCTCCAAAGTCCCTTTGTGTAAATATTAAACCCCTCAGGGAACTCGAGCCCTCGGGTTTTCCTGCCCAGTGAGGTTGGATCAGAATTCCCTCCTGTGTTCAAATAAACATTGTCAGGGAAAAAAAAGATCCACTTGTTTTGTTGTGGTTTGTAGTTTAATTTTTTTTCCTGGAGGTGGGCACTGGCCATCCTGGAACAGCAGCTTTTCCCACTCCTGGGGAGGGCAGAGCTGTGCTTGGAAGTGCTGGGATGTGAGAGATCCTTGTTCTGCAGGTGGAGTGTGATCCAAGCCACTGGGATTGTCCTGTGCTGGGAACAGGGAGGGCTCTGTCTGGGAACAAAGGTGGCCTTTGGAATGTGAGGGGTCGCACATTCCAGCTGGGAGAGGGCGAGAAGCCCAAGGCAGGAGCAGCACATGAGGATGGATCCCTCCCCTCCACTTCCTCAGGAAGCCCAATTCCCATGGCATTCACACTGCCCCATCTCCTGGGTTTTGAGCTGGCATGGCCAGTGTCCCCTCCTGGGGTGGGATGGGCAAGTCCAGCTCACCCCCAGCCCAGGGGGACACAGGAACGGGGCCGAGTCCAAGGCCTGGATTGCAAATCCCATTTGCTGGGAGCCAAGTGGCTCTGAGGAATGTTGTGCAGATGCTGTTCACCTGCTGGGGGGTGGGAAACAGCCAAAGGTTTGGACCTGGACAGAAAATGTATGTCCAGGATTTCATGTGGAGCCACAGGTAGTTTGTTATTCACGTCGGGCTCCTGTCGAGATCCCAGGCAGATGTTTTAAAACCATTCCTAGGAAAATTCAATATTAAGGTGGATGTACCTTTGTGTCCTCATTGTGGGCCAGTTTGCACGTGGCAGTGCAGTTTTCCAGCAGGGAATTGCCTCATTCCAGGCTCTGTGGACACAGAGACTGCAGCAGTCTAACCAGTTCTGTCTGCACTGGGGTTGATCAGCAGGAACAGCCTCTGCCTCTGCCGGGGGTTTAAGACCCCTGTAATTTTACTGTGATACAGAAACATGATTTTAGTGTGACACAGAGACAGAACAAACTCACAGCTCAGATGGAATTGATTCAAGAAGTGTTGGTGATTGCAGGGAATTCTTCAGTGTCGGGCTGGGCTGGACGAGGGCAATCCCTGCCCCGTGCTCTGCAGCAGCAGTGGGATGGGTTTGTCCTCCCCCATCACTCACAGCTCCCCAATTTTGGGTGATTTGCTGCGTGTTTGTGTTGGTGACGCCTCTCCTGGGCACACAGAGGTGTCTGACAGGAGGCCTGGTCCCATTCCTGATGTTTTTTTCCACTGAAAATAATTCTGGGAGAAGAGGGAGGGCTGTGGGATGGATGTGCTAAACCCCGGGACTGACCCGGCCAAAGCTGAGCAGCGCGACAGGAGGTGACCAGCAGCCCACGCTGGGCTGCTTTTTCCCCTTGGAATACAGAATTCCAGCCTGTGCTGGGAGCTGCCTTGGCCGAGAGCTGCTTTAAAAATTCATCCAGGCTTTCCCCGCAGCCGCGCGGGCGGCGGGAGCGCAGACAATGATCTCAGCCCGCTCCGCTCCCGCTGAAACCCGAGCCGGAGCCTTTTGTTTTCCCTTTGGAAAGCGCTCCCTGCTCTTCCCAGCTGATCGAAACCCGGGGCTGGGAGAAAACAAACGGGGGGAGAGAGGAACTGTGCTGGTTTCCTGCCCACGAGGAGGGTACAGACGCTGCCCGGCTGTGGCAGGGCAGGGAATTCACGGGGAATTCACAGGGAATTCGCAGGGAGTTCACAGCATGCTTCCCTTGCCAGTACAAACATCACCCAGGGGGAGAGCAGATCTTCTAAAAACGATAAAAACACCCCTCGTCAAAAAAACGGCGGCAGTTCAACAATAGCAATTACACCAGAAAATGTAAGGCTTCGACAAATCCGTGCCCTCTAGTAAGGAATTCCAGTTCTGTACAGGGAATTCTGGCTACAAAACTCCAAAATTAACCCTCAGTTCATGCTAAACATCCAGTTTGGAACTACAAAAGTGAAGCAAATCGGGATTTGGGGCGCTGGAGCTGCTCTGGATTCCACCTGGGAAGCACCCCAGGTGTGGCTGTTCCACGGCAGCACCACGTGGCTTTAACTTTTTTGCTGAGTGTTTGGAAGCAGCCAGGAGAGCAATCCCCTGGGAGTTCTGAGGTTTGGGAATCTGACAGAGGGTTGGGACAGAGGGAGAACAGCCAAGCTCTGCCCTGAGGCTCATCCCTGACTTCAGGGGCTCTCCTGATGGCAAGGACAGAACTTCCTCCCCTTTTCCATCACTGTTCCAGGGGAACTGCCTCTGTGGGAAGGACACCAGGAGCAACCTGGAGGCTGCAGGGGCAGGAGAACCAGGGGCACTGCACAGGGAAAATGGGATAATGCATATTCCAGGGAGGAGTCGGTTACATTCAGAGCTGATAGAGGTGAGGAACCTGTGCCCTGGAGGGAGCTGTCCCAGGAATGCCTGGGGACACCCCACGGGCTGGGGAAGGAGGACAGACCTGCAGGTGTCCCATCCAGCCTTCCCCCAGCAGTGATTCCTGCTCTGATGGCACTGTGTGATTCCACACACACACAATTCCACCTCTGAGTCACCTGCAGAAATTCCTGGTTTTAAGACTCTGCCCAGTCCGGCACTGGCAGCACTGCTGGGATCACTGCTGGAATCACTGCTGGAATCACTGCTGGAATCACCTGAGGCTCCTCCTCTTGCCAGAAGAATCTGTACTTATTTCAGCAGGAGACTGAGCTGGGAAGGGGTTCAGGATGCCAAGGATTACTGAGCATCAGGCCAAAAACGGCAGGAAAAGGTTTCCTGGGGTCCTGAGACCACCCAAAGGCTCCAGACTGACAACCACAGAGCTCCAGATCCCTCCCAGCACCCAAAGCTCCTCACTGGGAACCACCTGCCCTGCCAGCACAGCCCTGGGGCTGTCTGGGGATCAATAACACCCAGGAACTGACTGATCAATATATGGATTGATCAGTATTGGGCTCAAACTCAGCAGGGAATCTTTGATAAGGGGGGAATTCGGCTTTCAGGTTCCTTGGAAACCTTTCTCCTGCAGCACTGAAAATGCTGGATGAACACTCAGCTTCTTCCTGGGCTGGGAGAGGGG